AATCGATTTTCCAGCTAAGCTATCAAAACAGGAGGAAATGATAGATATTAATCAGAAATTCCATTATCTCTCCTGGTTTTACACAGCTTGTCTTCTGTTCTCCTAAGCGTTGGAGCATTTGATAAAGGAGACAAGAAAAAAACTTTTAAAATGAAATAGTTTTTGTCAGAATTTGCCAATTCATCACAATCAAATTGCTTCAAGACACTGCATCTCTCTGGCCCAATTAGTTTATAATTAGTTAACATCATGCAGAATGATTCCAAGAGGAGGGACAAAGACTTGAATCCCAGTATCTGTGGATAGAGCATCTGTTCAAGCAAAAGAAAACATGGCTTTAAAGGACTGATCCTCTATCTTCCTCATCTTAATTGCATGTCTTGAGTAGTGGAGATTGGCTATTCTAGATTGTTCTTGTGCTCTCTACCTGGATTTGATTGTAAAATCTATTCTGGACTTAAAATAGCTTTATTATTTCTGCAAAACATTTCCTTGTCAACAAAATGGTACTTTCAAACAGTGAAAAAAACTTGTCAACAGATTTCTTACAAAGTCACAAAACAGTCTTGACAAATATATTCCCTCAAGAAAACACTTTTCCCATATTTAAGACTTTGAACTGAGCTCTTATGACAAAGTTTCTTCCTCAAGCTCTGTTAAAGTGGGGTAACCACTAACCGCAGGATCACTGGGATCAAAATGAGGACAGAGAGGCAAAGAAGGGTCCATAAACAGCCATGCAATTAATTCACCCACCTCCACATGGAGGCCAGTTGTTCCTGCTGAACTCATATGAAGCTTGGTGTATCCAAACATCAGATCTGCATATTGCTATTTACAGCAGCTAGTCTGGAAAACTTGGGTGTTCCATACAGAAACTGCGTGAATTCAGAGCAATCCTGATGGGAAAATAAGGTCACAGACTATGAAAAATCTCTGCTTGAGGGTTCTGGATTCAGATACAATGCTTCTCTGCTGCATCTCAGGACAATCATGTTCTCTGCCTGTTTCTCAAGTTGCCTTTAGCTATATGTGTTTGAAGGAAGTTGTGATGCCTGGCATGCAAGGGGGAATGAAAGCGTTTTGTAAGGGCAGAGTAAACACAGGACTGCTTTGTGATCCCAGCATAAGCTTCTCTCCCCACACTTCACCCCAATGCCAAAGTGTGGGCATGGGAAAATGCACTTCATTTTCCTGCAAACAGTTTGGAGATGGGTGAGGCATCGCCAACAGAGAGACTGGCAGGGATCCCACATTCCGAGCCTTTTTACAACAAAAAGAGCTCAGCAATTAGCAAAATTAAAAAAAAAAAAAAAAAAAAAAAAAAAGTCAAATGCATTTTTGATGCTCTGAAGTTGCTGAGATTTTAAACAGTCTGAGCTGCTCCCACACACTGAGGGCTCTGTGCGCCAACAGCGTAGCAACAGCACCACCGTATGGGTATCATCAACCCCTCCACCCTGGGAAATTTTGTCCATCTGGTTTGTTCTGTATGCAAGATTAGTACTACGATGGGATTAGTTTAAAGCAATTGATTTCATGGTTGTTGTCAAGAGCGTGGGTGGGTTTTTCTCCAAGGCTGGTCAGGGTTACCTCTGAAATATAAAATCCCAAATGGGAGCAGCTGGTCCCTTGTAGGAACACTCAAGGTCAAACAGACTCCCTGTGCATCAAACCCTGAAAATTATCACTGTGCAGGTTCTATTCGTTGGCACCCACAGATCTCAAAGCACTTCCTTTGTGATAACAGATGTCATGAGCCCAATTTGCCACTATAGGAAGAAGAGGCACAAAGAAGGGAAAGCACATGGAAAAGAACCCTAAACTAGCAGTAACACCAATACCCTTCTGTTTCCAATGCTTTTCACTCGTTGACAGTTGCAGTCTCTTTGTTGAACAACAGTAAGTATCTATGCATGTGGCTGAAACAGAACTCTGCAGCAAGCCAAGGGTATCCAGAGAAGCAGGAATCCTTCTGCTGTACCAAAGTTGTGCCTCTCCATCCCAGTTCAGGTGCATGGGAGAGTGCAAAGTATCTGGGAACATGGTAGGAAATACCTTAGGCTGAGATAGGGGCCATACTATGGCCTTTTGCCACAAGCAGAGAAACACCCCAAAATGACAATGCTTACAACTGATAGAAGAGGGTGCACAGGACCATCTGCTTCTGACAGCAAGCTGTCCACCTCTCTCTTTAGATATCTGTGTGTCTATTTGTTTTCAATCTTCCTCTCCCCTTATCTATCCATTTGCTTTCCCATCTATTCAATCATATGCATCATTTAGGATCAGTGCATCCCTCCTTATTCACCAATCTGTAATGCAATTTACCTTACTGCCATCTAGTGACTCAATGTCATTTATTCCCCATCCGTTTTGACTTGAGACACAGTTGCTTGCATTCCCAGAAACACAGTTGTGCAGCCACTGAGAAATACTATTTCAGTGCCTGAAATTTTCATTGAAAATTCATATGGTAAATCCTGTTCTAGCAGAAAGAAATCCCCTCATTCTAAACAGATTTACAGACATCACAGCAATGCTCAGGACAAGAAATCTCCTGTTTTTCCCATTGACATCCTCAGTCTAAGCTGCACTATAACTTTCAAGGATAGACCAAGGTAAGTTGACATTACCATTTGATTCACTGCACCCATACCAAACACCTTCAAGAAGTGATAAAGTCAATAAGATTCCCCTTGAAACACATTGCAACCTCCATGTATGTACTTCAGAAGACCTCAAACATTTCCAAAGGTTTTCTTGGTCTTTTTTAGAGGTGGGACCTGAGCTTATTTCACACATCCTACATGCTGATCTTAGGAATCACCTCATGGAGATGTAGCCTCTTTGCACATTGACTACTGAAAGAAGTAGGATGAGTGAGAGAGACTAGATGCAGACTTAATAGAAATAACTCTGCTCCAAAAATCCTGTTCAGAGCAACTTTCTTCTCTCTTTGGAGATGCTTGGTATCTCTATCCAGATGTCCCAGACATCAGTTCACCTACTGCTTTACATGTCCTCAAACTTCCAGCTAATGCCTAGCACTGTTTTCCATCCCCTCAGTGTAATTGGTGACACCACATCCTCTATCACATCCTGCCACAACTTTTCCAGCCTGACACCAGCAGATGAGCCAGCAATTAACCAAGTCTTCCATCCCTACATCCTCCACAGAAGTATCCAGGGCTATATCTATCAGGAATCTGCAGTGAAAACATAAACTATCCTGAAAAAAAAAAAAAAAAAAAAAAAAATCAACCAAGTGACTTGTACACATTCTTAGGTCCCCAGGAGAATTAGCCTCCTGCATGCAATTAGACAAATTTGGGATTGTATAACATCAGTAAAATAAAAAAATACTATGTACATACAATCCTATGGGCAAGTGAGTGTTAATGTATGTATAAAAACAACAATGGGGCATGTTTGCCATCTTCAGGAGTCAAGCAGGAACTGCATATAAAAGTTCAAAAAAGAGTGAAAAGCTACAACTGATATAAGTGTATGCAAACATTAAATAATAATAATAACAATAATTCCAGACCTGGGTGGATTTTATTAGGTTTTCTACTCCCTTTGACTCCCTTTTTGTCTAGCACAAGGAACCAGACACTACAGGGGCAATCATAAGTAGTTAAAATAAAAATTAGCCTTAAATGTCTCTAAGTCAGCTACACCAGAGCCTGAAAGCATATTACTCATTTTTTATCAAGTTATTCCATATAAACTTATGTATAAATAAATAACACAATGAAACAAAAGGCAATAGGCACAAAAAGAATGTTAAGGGATTTTTTAAATATTATGTTTGTTTGGTTGGCTTCTTTGGTATACTTGTTCATTTGTTTGCTTTCAAGTTCAGGAGTTCACGGAGGAGCACTCAAGATCTGCAAAACCATCTCCTGCATTGGATTCACCACTGGTGTAACTCAGAGTGGTGCCACTAACATTAGTAGAGTTATGTTGGTTGACCTGATCTTCCTTCGCAGCCTTTGATGGAGATCACATATTCACCAACACAAAAACACGCCTTCTCTTGTCTTTGAAGGGGTGTCTTGTGTGCATAAGAGCTGCATTGTGTGCAATAAAGACAGATTGGATGGGGCTCTCAGCAACTTGATCTGATTTAGTGGTTGGCAACCCTGCCAGCAGCAGGGACTGGAACTAGATGGTATTAGAGGCACCTTCCAACCCAAGTCACTCGATGTTTCTAAGGAGTCTCTGAAAGCTGTTGCTACAAAACCTATACTACTGAGATTTAAAAAGTAAAGCAAGAAATGACAGAATACTGAGCTTAACAGAAGAGATTTTTTGTTTTGTTTTGTGCTCTTCTACACTGAGCAGTGGACAAAGAATATGACAGACAGAAGTCTCATCAACTCACCAAAGAAAACAGTCATGTTTCAGGTTGGAATGTGGTTGAACTCACCTGGCTCTGTGGTGGGAAATGCCATTTCTAACAAGCCAGGATTATTTACAGTACACTCAGGTAGGAGTTCAGCTGTACCCAACCACTACTCAACAAAGGCATGCCATAGTGCTTATGATGTGGAGATAAGCATAATACTAGAGAAAGTTATCAGAAGGTCTCTTTGATTTCAGAACACATTTAAAAAAATGAATTGGGCATTGTCTTTTACTAGATCATAAACAGTGCACCCAAATAAATATATGTGAGCACGCAGTTACGTGGAAGAGGCCTACATATTGTGATTTGCCAGAATACCTTGCTACCACATGCCAGTGGTGTCACATAGAGACACTAATACAAATAAATAGCTGGAGGTGTTTATTAAAAAAACAACAATTTGTGCTTGATTTGAACATAATGGCTCCACTCAGGGTAGTAATGGGGGTGGAGAGCCCTGTTCACAGGGCGTAACCACAGCCTTGCTCTCCCCAGGGAGATGCATAAGGCCAGTCTTGTTCTAAAGAATTTGAGGGTTTTTTCCGCTCATGAACATTTTATCCAAGGGTGGGAGGGAAGGAAAGTGCATAGTAGTGGAGCGGAGCTGTTTGTTGGTAGCTAGGAAAGTTACAGTCAGATAGGAGAGGCACCTAAAGCAAATATCACCATCACAACCAAACCCCTCCCTTGGGTCCAGCATACAATCCTGCTCAGGTGCCTTCACACGGTAATCTGGGCATGCACAATTGCTGCCTCCCACAGCATATAAAGTGCCCCACGAGGAAATAACTCATATTCAGCACAAGGGAGGCAATCCCAAAATGAAGGTTTTCTTCGTCCTCCTGCTGGCAGTCGTCCTGTGCACTGACCCAGGTAAGATAGATCTCCATCATCTCCAGCAGATCATCAACTGGAAGAAAAGATGTGTTATGGGTTTTGATACTGAGGGGGAAAATACTGGTCCAGTTGCCATAAGATGTTTGCTTTTTGATGGAGTGTCTCATGTGTTGCAGGGGAAAACAGTTCCTCCCTGGTACTGGTGTGATCCTAGTATGGATAGATCAGCTTCTAGGCAAGATACATCTTAAAAAATTTGGAATTTAACTGGGAATTTAACTTGAATTTAACTGAAATCAAAATTACTAAAGTTAGACCACACTGTTTGATATTGTTGTTTTATTTTGCTTTGCTTTGCTTTGCTTTTGAGATTCTTCTTCTTCCCATCTTATTTAATTGGACTACCGCAACATTTCTGCTGTGTTTTTGTTACCACTTGTTTTCTTACTCATTTTAAAAGTAGCTTCTAATGCCACAAGTTGTGGGTTAGAAAGGAGAAGAGAAAATGAGAGAATACCACAGAATGTCATTTTCTAGACTGAATGGGTGGAATACAGGCAAAGCAGATTTGAAACTTTTCTGGTCTGACCTGAGAAAATGTGTGATTTAAAAACAGCTCTTCCTATTAGTAGAGAAGAAGTAGATCTGAACAGAGGTTTGTCCCAAATAGCAAAGGGTGGTTAACAAATAGGCTGAGAAGCTGTTCGTACAGACCCTCTCTTCTACCATCTTCCATAAAGTTGCTCTGAAACGTGACTTTTTGCTGCATTAATAGATAAATGTGACAGTAAGTTGTAGCACTAGATTTAAGCTGGGATTTGACTATTTGCTGAATCAGACATCTATGTCAGAACAACTTGGACATGAGACCAAGTACATAAAATCTCTTCTTGTTTCAAATCTGTTCTGCTCTGAATAGCACTCATTTCTAATTATGGCTTGTCTGCATCTTAAAAGAGTATTTCAGGCATTAGGATGTTGAAGAAATCATGAGACAAGCCTGGCAGTCAAGGAGTTAAGGTACATACACACATTCACAGCATATTAGCAAATCTGCAAAGCTTCAGTTGTGCCTTGGGGCATGGGTGGGTAATAGGAATGGGTAATTGCACCATGCTCTCACTCCTTGGGGGACTGCTTTTCATTCGGGCTAGGCATTTGTAAACTGCTGTGCTTATTCTGCCTTTGCTTGACCTCTACCTCCACACATGTTAACAATGTTGAGCTGGGTCACAGAGAGATGGACATGTCCATGAGGGGATGGGAACATGTGGCAATCTGTTTGTGAGATTCTGTTTTCTAAGAGGGACTATTGGATAATAGGTATCACAGGTTGATCAAACTGAGAAAACGAGCTGAAAGAAATCTTTAAAATCTCCTGCTCTGTTCCTTCCTTACCTTCTCCTTCTTTGGGCTTTCTCCATTTGTCCCAACCCTGGCCACTGTGCCTCACCTAAGGCTTTCGTGTACAACCTTCCTGTCTATAGAGGAAGACAAACAACATTGACCAACCCTTCTGGGAACTTCATCCTTCCATCTCTGCTCAGTTAACAAGGTGGGAATATCACAATAATCCCATTCCTGAGAGGAACTGTGCTGGGCATCTCAAATGCTGAGGAAGGAATAGTCTCCTTCCCGTTGACTGATGACTGAGTCTCCTTCCCATTTGCTTCATCTCCTTCAACTGCTTTCTTGCATCCTCAGTGCACTACCTACATCTGAAACCACTCCACTACCTACTAGATTTTCCTCTCACCTCAAGCAAGTAGGACATCCTCGAGCAAAAAAGTAAAAAAATGCTGTTTTCCCAATAACAGAGGTAGTGTCTTCCTTTGAGCATCCACAAAAATGATCCTATTTCCCAGTGCACGCATTAGATTTGGTTACCTGGAGAGCTTCAAATGGATTTGTGTTATAACCTCTCTTGGTCTTTTGCAGGTTCTTCTTTGCAGTGCTACAGCTGCAAGTCAAAACTCAGCAACAGCAACTGTCAGGAATCAGTGAACTGCAAGGAAAATGAAGTGTGCAAGACAGATATAATCAGTAAGGCAAAGAGGGGGTGGACAGCATGGGGAATGGATTGTTATTGGAGACTGGCATGGTCTCAATCTCAGGTGTCCATGTCTGCCCCACCAATTCTAGATACACCAGATGGTATGGGCCAGCAAAGCTCAGCATCCGTCCCCAGAAATTATTTGGTGAGAAAGGGATGATGTAAAGCTTTCAGAAAAGTTCTAGTTTAGGTAAAAGTGACAGAAAAATAATCTTTGTCCCTTGGTGATAGCTAGTGCTGTCATCGATTTTAAGTGCCTTAGTAGTAGCGTTGGCAAATATTCCCCTCCCACAGAAAGAAGAATGTTATTACACCTGTGGCTGAAACAAATTTAGAGACATGATTTATTGGCCATGGTGTTGATGGTATGACTGTTGAACTTGATGATCTTAGAGGTCTTTTCCAACCTTAATGATTCTATGATTCTAAGTTCAAATCTTCTCCTCTCACTGGCTGTAAGGGTGTGATTCAAAAGGCACATACTTCTTGTATCTCTTAAATTCCTCAGTGTTTACCAATGGATCATGTGAAATAATAAGCACTCAGTGCAGTGCCAGAGTCTGGAAAAAATCTCAAGAGAGCACAACTGCTTTGTTTAGCACATAGCAGAGCAGGGCACTAGCGGTTAAGCACATGATATTATGAATAACATATACAAATGTCCCTCTTTTTTTTTCTTCCGTAATAATAAGAAGTTTTGCTTATAAGGGAAATCGTTAAGTTTATAGCTTCACGAACCTTGGCTGGGATAATATTTCATTGAGTCCTTGGAGTAATGGTCCTGTCTTCTTTCCAGAGGTGATAGGGTTCTTCAGCATCATCAGCAAGGGCTGTGAGGCAACATGTCAAGAAGACTATCAAGATTTCAAAGTGGGCAACAGGAATGTCTCCTGCTGCACCAGCAACCTCTGCAATGTCAATGCAGCAGGAAGTGTGAGGAGCAGCTATGGAATGGCAGCAGGGATAACAGCCAGTGTGCTCTTGACCTTCCTGAACAACAGACTGTGAAGAGGAAAGAGAGCTCCTGTGATCACAGAAAGTCTTGAAGCACCCCTGTTACGATGGGAATTGTAGCCAGATGCAATTTGGTGTGTTGGGCATACAGCATCTTTGGAGCTGATGGCAGATCTTTGCCTTATGATAGCTTCTTTATTACTGTTGTTGTACTGCTGTATTGCTGCTAGATGAGAAAGCGTGTGTGTGTGCAATCCACCGAAAATAAACTATACTAATTTCTGAATCCAGTGTGAGTGCATTGCCTGTATATCACTTACCTATGTATTCCTGCACACAACAGTTGGGTGTGTTGTATATCTGGCGATTGTTCAACCTTGTTAATTGCTATGTAATGACGTGTGTTGAGAGATGCCGAGAGATTAGGGACATGGCTTAGTGGGCATGGCGAGGGGTTGGTGGTTGGACTAGATGATCTTCTCCTTAATCATTCTATGATTCTATTATACGATTTCATGCCATTACACATCAGAATAGAGTTGGCATCCATAGCTCCAAATCTTGAGAGGCTCTGATTAATGACAAACTCTAGAGGGTATATAACCTAAGAAGACCCACAAAGAGCAAATATCTAAAGAGAAACTTGCTTCCAGCCAAGAGATCCCACAATCCTGCACCTTGTTGGTTACCACACAAGACAAAAACATTGCTCACCTTCCCTGCTCCATGTGCATATGGTCACTCATAATCCCACAGCTTTAGGATCCTTGGGATGGTGGGCAGGACTGCACAGCCAGATAGCCAGATCATCACTGTGGGCAGTAACTGTTGGAGTGAAAAATATGTCCTTAGTGTGTCCTGGTTAATCTATGTGTGACCTAAGATTGCCTGCAAATTCTGCAATTGCCTGCACATCTTCATGATGGCCAAAGGTATTGTGGTTGGCAGTGGCATCCTCTAAAAGCTTTCATCTCCCAACAAAACATTCTCAAGCTTTCTTCTCTAAGTTCCATTTGTCATGCCACAGCCTGGCACACAGATTCTGCCACAGGGTTGAAAAAGTGCTGATTTCAAAGCCTAGTTTTGAAGGAAGGGTGGAGAAATAAAACATTAGAGGTTTCATTTTCCCCTCTAAGCATCTTGATTTTGTAGTTCAGCCTAACATTTGGGTCACATAACCAGATGCACCCCTATGTTGGATATGGTTGGTTAGAATGAGGAGGATAAAAGTGTGGTGAAAAAATGAAAATATTGCCCCATCCATAGAGGTCTTCAAGGCCAGATTGGATGGGGCCTTGGGCAGCCTGGACTAGTATTAAATGTGGAGGTTGGTGGCCCTGCACGTGGCATTGGGGTTGGAGATTCATGATCCTTGAGGTCCTTTCCAACCCTGGCCATTCTGTGATTGTGTGATTGTGTGATATTAAGGAAAAGAAGAGCAGTGGAGATAAATAAAGGAATGAAGCTGGTTCCACTTCTCCTGAGGTATAGGGGAAGAGAAAATTAGGATAGGAATTGTGTTCCCTGAAAATTTGTTGAGGCCCTGAGGATATCAACAGAGTACACTTCCCTTTTACAAAATTCACAAAAATTCCCTTCTTCACAAAAGATTCAACATACAAGACCCAAATACATGGAAAATCATTTCAAACTCTCTCAGTCAGTGGTAGCAGTAAAGTGTCTGTGTGCAAGGCAGGCTGTACAGTTTTGTCTTCACTCATATACAGTTATAGCTTCTCTCTATAGTTACGGATTCTATATTATATAACTTGCCCTCCCCATGTACGTTGTTTTATAAACTCAAGTGTTCTCACCTTGCACTGGAATAACCTCTACAGCATTAGGCGAAACTGTCTGCAAGAAACTCTCCAATAAGGCCTCCAAACCTTATGTGTGTAGAGATCTGAAAAACAAGTTAGAAATCATAGAATCATAGAATCATAGAATCTTTAGAGTTGGAAGGAACCTTTAAAGGTCATCTAGTCCAACCCTCCTGCAATGAAAAAGGACATCTACAGATAGATCAGGGTGTTCAGAAGCCCACCCATCATTGAATGAATTTTGGAGAATAAAACACATGTTCCTCTTCCCAATATACAAGAAAGGAACAAAAGAATTCCTGGAACTGCAAAGGATGTGCAGAGCCACAGAATGAAATAAGAAAAACATTAACCTGGTAGAGGTGAGTCATCAAGGGTTGACCAGATCACACATAGCTGTGGGATAAGGGTCAGCATCAAATTTTGGATGAGGTCAGAGAGATGTCAGAAGATTACGACACTGTCTGCTGTTGTGAAAGAGAAAAACACATAAATCTTTGGTTATAAGATGTTGACAAGCTGCTAATTGTAGGAAGCAGGGAAGGGGTTTCCCCAAAATAAACTGAAATGAACCACCTTCCCCCTAAGATGCCTGTCTCATTATCAGCAGAGCAAGGATATGGAGTAGGTGAGGTGGCTTGGTTGTTTTTTTGGTATTTTTTTGTCTTTTTCCAAGCCTCCAGAGTCTAAGAGACTGGAAAGCAGAGTTATCCATCTATACACACCCCAGCCAGACTGCTTTCTGTGTGGACAACTAGCTTCACGATCTCTCTAGCCCAGAGGCTCATCTTCGTGTAAAAGGATCCTTAATACAGTACTGCCCCATGCCCACTTTCTCAAATAATTCCCAGGTAGTCAGAAATGTCTACATCCAGAGACTATTCCCTGGAGTCTGTATGACTGTGATAGCCCTTTTGTGAAGACTGGGATTTCAGCTGTCTGGAAATGGTCAAAATATGTTAGCCAGATTCTCAAGTGATGTTTGGTGAGACGCAGCCTCTTTGACCAAACTGCAGTTACTGGAGAAGTCAAAAACTGAATGAATAAAATATTCTCAGGTATTTATTTTCTCTGTGTCAAAATCTATGAGGGAGTGTGGTTTATCTGCGTTATAGCACACTGATCAGTTTGATTGGATGGGTTGGTTGGACTTGATGAGTTTTAAGGTCTTTTTCAACCTGAGTGATTCTATGATCCCATGTAGCACTGATATCTATTTTGTGGAGGCACAGGGAAGCTTAGGATTTTCTTGATGGAGCCAAGAGGTTCTACTGGTTGAAACCTTATGTCTGTATTCTACAGGCTGAGAGAACTATTTTTCCTCCCAGTTTTCTCTTTGTACATATTCTGGAAAAGAGTACATGATTGACAACTGAGTTATTTTTCTCTCTAGGGATACACCTGGAGTTTTTATATGTAAACACAGAATAACAGAACTATAGAATCATTAAGGTTGGAAAGGACCACTGAGATCATCAAGTCCAACCATCAGCCCATCCCTACCATGCCCACTAAAACACATCACTCACTGTGACATGCACTCTTTTCTTGAAAACCACATGGGACAGTGACTCCACCATCTTCTTGGACAGCCTATTCCAGTGTAGTACAACTTTTTTAGAGAAGAATTTTTTCCTAATATCTAACCTAGCATAGGGGTAGGGATTAGGTAGCTTAATATGAAGGTGTAAATGCAATAGGCTGTGCCTGGGATGGAGGCAGTAAACAGAAGTGTAGGAAGCACCTACAGAAATAATGTGGTGCACTGGTAGACCTCCCTGCTGCTTGATATGTCCTGGAACAGCACTTGCAATAATGCACTTCCTTTTCCATTCAGGTCACCAACAGACAGCCTTAAAAACAAGCTGCTAAATTCTGGGAAGGACTAGGAGGTGGCACAGTAAAGTGGAAAAATGACTCACTCACAAGTCAAAAGCTGGGCTGGGTCAAGGGCAGGACCAGAAAGAGGTCTGCCTTTTTAGGTCCCATGAATGCAGGTTGGCAGAAAGCCTAGCTTCCCCTTCTTCCTTGTAAACCCCTAATAAACACAAACAGGACTTGTTCCCTCCTGCAGCCTCTTCCAGCCCTGTGCTTAGTTCGTGGCATCTTACAACTCCACAAGCCTTTGGCGGAAGGTCAATTTGCACTGGGAAAATGGGGTGAGAGCTGTTTGCTGGATCAAGAATAACATTTATTTAAAAAACAAGGCTATTTTTTATTCACCCGTAAAAGTTGTTTCTTGACATGGCTGGCTAAGCAGTGCTATCAGTTTTTCTCCTATCTTTTACACACTTTCTTTTACACACTTACCAAGAGGCCTGAAGCTTACAGTCTCTTTAAGCAACTTAATCTATCATGTATACAAGAGATTCCTAAACTTCCAGGATCACTTGCTTAAATAATAAGCAGTTGCACAATAAACTGGATTGTTTCTTATCTCTCAAATATAGGAAAGGTCAAGCAAATCTGACCCGGAGTGACTGCTTTGGCATATCTTCTATGGTAGGAAGCATTACAAATGTGCATTTTGAGCAAAATAAAAGTGTTTCTTGGATTATTGCTGTGGTGTTGTATTTGCTGCTAGTAGTGTTACTAGTCCTCATTATCTCTGTGGATAGGGATTAGAGCATACAGCATTTCCTATGGCCCAGCAGCATTAACACCCAGTATATGCACCTGATTCTAAAAGTGTCAACAAGGCCCCTTGAATTCAGCCCAATTTACAGCAGCTGGTTAAAAAAACATTTGATGATATTAAAAAAATATCCCTGTTTAAGGACCAGCAGTTCCTTGCAATGCTCCACATTTCTTTTGTGGCCCAGGGCAAATTACACAGCCTCTCCATATCTCTATCTTCTACAGGTGTTATCAGGTCCAGTCTATCAAGAGATGCACAGAGAGTGACTTTAATGGGGCCAGCAGAGAGAAGTAAGCTAAAAATAAGCCAGAACAGAGTCAGCTAGCTAACAGAGCCAGAGAACTACCCGCTACCCACCCACCCTGCACAGCCACATTCCTGTTCCCAATTATGCAGAAACTGTTGTGCAACCAGGCTTTTCATGGTTTAAAAAGACTGAGGGAGAGCCTGCAGTTAACCGTGCTCTTGCAGTCATAAAAACAATCAAAAAACCAACCCTTTAATTGCAGAACATCCCTCAAGTAACTGCACCTGTCACTCACCCTGGGCAAGGCTGGCTGGGCAAGGCTGGTGGAGCCACGCTCATGCCATGCCATCTTGACTCATCCCAATCCCACCCTGTCACATAACAACTGTGTGGCAGTTTCAGCTTACTTTCAGCTCTGCTGATGCCCTTCTAAGTTAAACAACAAAACTCCTTGCAAACTTGCTGCACCCATTCGTCCTCTCAATCCACATCTTCACTCACTGATATTCACAATCCACAACTCCTGCTGCAGTCCTGATCTGCTTTTCATAGAATTTCTCTGATTTGCATCCACAAGCCCA